AAACCTGATAGGTGACCAATAGCTTGACAAATCAGAAGAACTGCGCTGCACTGTGAGACTGGCTGACGCTTCTGTTCGGAGAGATTTGCTCGTGGCCTCTTGGAAGCCACGTCCACTGCGCTTCTTCTGCCTCAGTAGCTCTTCTCCAGTATTTCCCCGTCTTGGAGTTTCCTCTAAACTTACGATCTTTAGAACTTCATGTGTGTCCCCCCCCTTGTGCATATATTTTCTTACCATACGAGCTGCTCGATACATGGCCTCAAATAGCATGCAGATTCTTAAGCACAGTATTTAATTAGTGCATCCAAATTTATAGATCCAAACCCGCCTGATGTTTTCCTTGTATGGCTTCAGTGCATCCTAACCTCACTGTTTCCTGAGCAAAATTTTTAAAAATTTTAAAAACTTTATTAGTATACATTGACAGTGCGTGCAGTTGATAGTCCTGTGGGGAAGTGGGGATGTGTGTGCATCACTGCTGGTTTTTGTTTTGTTTTGTTTTGTTTTGTTTGTCTTTTTGAGACAGTCTTGCTGTACAGTTCAGGCTGGCCTTGAGCACACTTTGCAGCCCAGGCTGGCCTCGAACTCTTAACGATCCTCCTGCCTCAGCCTCCCGAGTGCTGGGATTACAGGCGTGAGCCTCCACGCCCGGCTTGTTTCTTTTTTTTTTTAGCTCCCTTCCTTTTCTTCCCCCTTCCCCCTCCTCTCCAGGTCTCCTGTCCATTTTTCATTCCTGTCGATACTTTTAACTTTAGCTTGTGTTATGGCATACAGTACTCACAGTCACTGAGGTTAGTGGCTCCTACTCACGCGGATCTTCATTCTCCCTGTTTCCCTTCCCCTCCTACTCACCTTTGGTGCTTTTTCCCTTGGTCACTTTCCCCATTGCAAGAGATCTGTCCCTTGTCCCTTTCGAGCTAACCTTTGTTATTCTCTTTGCTCGTACTTTCTCTCACTTAAGCGAGAGATACCATCCAGTACTCAGGCTTGTGTGCCTGCTTTCTTCACTCAGCTTTATTTTTTCCAACTGAATTCATTTTCCTACAAATGTCTTAAACCTGTTATTGTTTATATCCTAGTAATATTCCATTATATATAGGAATGTAATTATAGGGTAATATAATTACATTCCTACATATAATTTTTTATATATATATATATATTTTTTTTTTTCTTTATCCAGTCATCTGTTGATGGGTATTTCGGCTCTTTCCAAGATTTAGCTATTCTATGCTACACTGCTAGAATCACTGGCATGCAAGTATGAAGTCTTAAAGTCTTTGGAGAAGATATCTAACAGGGATTGCTGGGTCGAACGGAATTTTTTATTTCAGTTCTTTGAGAAATCTTCATACTCATTTCCAAATGGTTATAATAGTTTGCATTCCCACCAACAAGGAAAGAGGGTTCCTTTTTTACCACAGCCTCACTGGCATTTGTTATTCTTTGATTTCTTAATGGTTGCCATTCTTTCCAGAGTAAGATGGAATCTTTAATTTGCATTTCTCTAATGGCCAGAGATGCTGAGAATGTTTTCATTGGTTGACCATTGTATTTCTTCCTCTGTGAAGTACCTGTTCATTTCTCTTTCTCATTTCTTGACTGGATCTTTAATTTCAGGTGTTTCTATTTGTGTGTGTGTGTGTGTGTGTGTGTGTGTGTGTGTGTGTGTGTGTTCTTTGTATATTCTGGATATTATTCCTCTGTCTGAGGAGCAGCTGGCAATTTTTTCCCGTTCTTTAGGCTGTGTCTCCACTCTGCTGACTGCTGCTACACAGAAGCTTTTTAGTCTGATCTAATTCCACTTGTTGATTCTCGGTGTTATTTCTTGTGCAATTGAGGTTCTGTTTAGGAAATCCTTTCCTATATCTATGTCTCTAAGTGTTTCACTTATTTTATCTTCCAGTAGGTTTAATGTTTGTCTTAATGTTTATATCTTTGATCTTTTTGATTTTGACTTGGTATGTGGCCAGAGCTAAGGGTCTAGTTTCATTCTTTTGCACACAGATAATCATTTTTCCCAGCACCACTTGCCATATATGCAAAATATGCTCGTGCCCCTTTGTCAAAGATCAAGTTGCTGCGCGTGTCTGGGGAGGGTTCTGTACTCTCAGCTCTGTTCCACTGATCGTCTTAGCTGGGTTTGTGCTGGTGCCATGCCATTTTTACCACTACTGCTTTGTAGTTTGGCTTGAAGTCAGGTATTGCTATGCTTCCTGCTTTGTTCTTGTTGGTCAGAATTGTTATGCTGAGTCTCTTCTGGTTCATATGAATTTTAAGATTCTTTTCTCTAGATCTCTAAAGTATGCTGTTGGGATGTTGGTTGGGATTGCACTGGATCTGTGTAACAGTTGGGGGAGTTCGGCTATCTTGACTGTATTGTTTCTTCCTATCCAGGAACAAGATACATCTTTCCATTTTCTGATGTCTCCTTTAATCTCCTTTTTTTGCCGTATTGTAGTTTTCCTTGTAGAGGTCTTTCACTCCCTTGATTAGGTTAATTCCTCGGTATTTCACTGTTCTTCAAGTTTCTGTGAATGGCATTATTTTCATAATTTCCTTCTCATCCTATTCATTGTTGGTGTACACAGATGCTAATGATCTTTGTGTGTTGGTCTTTTATTCTACTCCTGACCAGAACTCTTCTGAACTTTGTCCTTTTTAAAAAAAAAATCATCAAACATCGATATTCTCCCATCTTAAAATTTGTGTTTCATTTCTCTTTTCTCTCACCCACTTTAATCAAACTAGCTAAGAATTCTGTCTGTTCGACTTGTGCAATGTGTTTTGAATCCACCAATTTCTCTCCATCCTTATCGCTGTTACTACAGTTCAAGCTCTTCTTGCCTACATTTCTAGACCAGCTCTCTAACTTTTCCTTTTTCTCTCCTCTAACCCAGTGTACTCACAACATTATTCAGGAGATACCAGTGCTGTTCTGGAATTAGGAGTCTTACAGTCTGTTCGTACACTGGGAGTTAGAATCCTGAGATTGCCTAGAGGCAGGCCTGACTATGTTGATGGGTAACTTATACTCTCAGCAGACACTTCGTCTAGATTAGGTTGCAGTAATAAAAAGGAAGTCATCATGTCTCAGCACTTTAAAAGAGCAAAGGATTCTTTCAGGCTGTGACCATAGGAATTACGGAGTGGCTGGGGGCTGCTCTGAGTCGTTTTAGTGCTGCTTGGATCTCGAGAGTTCCTGCGGAGGAGGCAAAGAAAGCTCTAGGCAAACACACTGCGTTTGACCAAAGCTAGTCACCTAGTCAGGTGTAAATCAAGGTGGGTACAGGGCAGTGTAATATTCCTGTGTGACTAAACCAGAGAGCCAAGAATATTTGGTGAATAACACTAATTACTGACTTTCTCTTCCATTTTACAGATGAAGAGCTTGGATCCTGGAGCGATTAAGTGACTTTTACTGTCATGAAGCAGGCTTAACTCCCACTAACGCTGAGTCTTGTTGTTACTGTCAGGTGCGTTTTCTAATAATGAACCAGGACCTACTTGCATCCCAAATAAAACACATCTAAATGTCTCAATATTCATGTTTTATTTGTTTAAGTAATATAATATATACCACCATGTTGTAAAATGGTGTGACTCTGGTGAATTCTATATTAATCCCATAATACATATGGAAGGGGGTTAATATCACAAAACAACTGAGACATTTTTAACATAAATTTTATTTTATTTATTTATTTATTTATTTATTTATTTTTTGAGACAGGATCTATACAGTTCAGACAGTCTTGAGCTCACTTTGCAGCACAGCACTGGGATTATAGGCATGTGCCACCATGCCTGATTTAACATAAATTTTAAAAGCTTGCTTTACATTTTAGAAGATAAAGTAATTATTAAATGTACTTGGGATGTCTCGTTAAAAATAGTCCATCTATTACATTAAATAAAAGCCATTCAATATTCCAAACTATATACAAATGTCTCTACACTGATTAGAGATTTGTCATTTATCTGTTATAATAATTATGCAAATTCCATTCAGCCCACACATCCCGAATTGAGAAAACTGTATTTATCTCTTTTTCCTCATTTATAAGTCTGGTCTAACAGGAGTGCAGGAGGATGCCAAGTGGGCTGTGCACAGCTGGGTCTCGGTGGGCACTCTGCAACGGAAGGGAACCTAGTTCCCTCCCTGCGGTCTGTCCCTGTTTTCCTGAAGGAGGGCTTGTAAAAGCCTCAGCTCATCCCAAGAGCTTCTGACAGCTGCGGAAAGACACGGCAAATGCAAGCAAAACATCTCCACCGATTACCGCAGGCCGGGGCCTTCGCTCTCCTCCCTCCCCCCACCCTTGCTCTGTGCTTTGTGCTTTCTAAGGTTTCAACTGTTTTCTTCCCTTATCTTCCAAGTGAGCGGTCCTTCCCAGGCCTTACAGATGAAGGAAAAAGGGAACAGATCACAAAGAAATCAAACCCTGGCTCAGCTTTTATTTTCCTAAGGACCAGGATGCAAAAGTACTGGGACCAGGGTAGGACTGATCGCTGGCCAGCCTAAGAAATCCCAGCAGCCCTGGCCTGGGGGCATCCCCTGTGCCAGGCTGTGCCAGATGAGAACTGAGTTGGGCTCCACCAACAACCAACTCTTCTCTTCCCAGCTGTGCGGATCGGGCGGTGGCAAGACATTCTCAGGAAATAATTTCTCACTGTTCCACATTTAAAGGCAGAGAAGCATTACTTGTGAAGCACACACTGTGAAAATTAAAAGTGTTTGTTTCCAAGTCCAGTTGCTGATGCAAATTCTCATAACAATGCACTGCCCTGGCTCAAGGCATCGACTGTAGCCAAAGACCACAGAAGCTGCCCCGGGCAGTGTCCCAGCTGCCCGGCACACCCCTAGGCACACACTGCACCTACACTGCAGGTTGAGCTAACAAGGCTGTCTTCCTCCCCGCCCCGCCCTGTTCCTTTCTTCCCCACCCCCCAGGCCCCAGCCCTTGACCCACACAATGGGATTTTTGTTTACTTCGGTAGCATGTGACAGCGCAGTCCTTGCTTTGCCTAGCTCTGGGTTGCAGGTCTCTCAGGTAACAGGTGGCAGCTTCCCCTGTTGGATTCTAGACATGTAACAGAGTGACCTCATAGGGGTGGAGCTCTGGGACTCCGCAGAGGTGGCAGCCACAGCCAGGTAACTGAAGGGAAGCTGTGAGTTCCTTCCTCAATCCTGGTGGCTTCAGTCCTCACCCAGGGGCACCTTGCTGCCCGGCCTTTCCTGCAAACCTCTGAAGTCCATCTTCACAGCCATGGAGCCCAAAGACCCTCCTGGGAAAGAGAACTCAGGCACCAAGAAAAAGAACCTGACTTTCTTGCGGTCCAGACTGTACATGCTGGAGAGGAGGAAGACGGACACCGTGGTGGAGGGCAGTGTTTCTGGGGACCACTCTGGGGCCTTGAGAAGGAGCCAGTCGGACAGGACGGAGTACAGCCAGAAATTACAAGGTAACCCCAGAGAAACCAGTTGCCTTAGGCTACCCTGTTTCTGCTGCTCTCCCATTTGCAAAGGACGCGTGGAAGGCGGAGGAGAGAATCCAATACTCTCCTTCCCACAAAATAAGCAAGTGAGAGGAAATGTGACTCGCAAATCACAGGAAAATTGTGCTGCGGGGCTCACTGAAGAGCTACTTCTGAATGATGTTAATGTCACTATTGTATGTGTGTGTGTAACACACAGTCCTATATTTCTCTTTCCTTTTCTTCTCTGCCCAAGTGGTGAAGTCAGAAGCACTAGAAAGGAAGTGACTTAGAAACCCCCAAAGTCACTTTGTCTCAGTAGGTAACTACGGGATGTCACATCACACCATGAGATCCAGTGAGATACCTGGACTGTGATTGTGGTTATTTTAAATACAGACATGAAACTCCAATCACATCTGTGAAAAGTAACTAATGCTACAGTCAGTGGGATGGTGGATTGGGATTTGCTGAAAATCATTGAGGTGATCATGTCCTAGAGAGAATGGAATGTCACCCAGATATGAGATGTTTGGGGTGACTTTTGAGGAAATACCTTCAGCGTTTTCTGTAATGGCTGTGAGATAATTTGACACAGTTATCCTAATCCAGGCTCTGTTCTGGCCTGAATTTCCAACTCTTCCCATCTGCCTGCCTTTAGTGTCACTGGTGTGCAGGGTTTTAAGTCCCTGGAGAAGGACCTGTTAAGGGACCTTCCGAGCTCGTCTGGCCTGGGTTGAGCACACTTCATGTGTGTTCAATCGTCATCCCACAGTGAGCTTGTCATTCTGGACCTGACATTACCAAGGCCAATGGGACATGCTTGCACTCAGCCTGTTCCTTTTTAGAAAACAAGCTTAGACGTGGTTACATAAATACATTTAAATACATTAAATGCAATGAAACTAAATCTTTAAAAAATATTATTATGAATTAATTCTTTTAAAGTTCTGTATTACTCAACATTAAATTGAGGTATCAGTCTTAAACTTAAATTTTTTTTAACTAAGGAAAAATAGTAGTTGATCTTTAATTTCTCCTAAGACAATGTATACATTGGAAGGAATGTAAATTTTTCAGTCATACACCTTAGATTTTCAGTCCTGGCATTTTAGCTTTATACCTGCAAAAATTTAAGCAAATTACTTAAAATTCACCAGTCCCAATTTCTTTATTTGTGAAGGAAAGTGAGGCTAATATACTTAGCACATGGTGTTTTTAGGAGCATGAAATTAGATAATTAAATGAAACACCTAATTTATTGTTTGACACATTACAGTTATTTTAATGTGTTATATGCTCTACATATTATAGTTATTTTGAATTTTAGGAATAACAAATGCTGTAATAATAAGGTTAATCTAAATTTACATCTCATAAATCTTTTCAAGTCTTTTGTTCTTGTATAAAATTTCGGGAAAAGCGCTTCCCTTAACAACATGTTTCTTCTGAGCTCCACTAACTGGGCATTTCTCTGGTTCTGGTTTTTCACTGGCAAAATAAAAACAAGAAGTAATATTCGTGACTCCACATGCTTTGGTGCTCTGGTCCTAACCTTCCTTGAAAGGTCTCTGCTGCCTGGTGCAGTGGATGTGGGTCTGTTGTTGTGCAGCACCTCGGGTTCCCCTTTGATTTGTGGGTCTCCTGTGCTCCCCTGGATTCTGTCCCCGAAGGGAGAAGGAAGACACTCCTCCTGTTAGAGAACCATTTGTGCCTGGGAAAATCACCAAGGAACACATAATATAGCACATCAGAGCTGTAAAGGTGGCAGCTTCCTGGGAAGTATCACTATTTTTTAGGTGTAATTCAGTAAAACCCAATTCAGGGACCTAAAGCCTAATAAGCTTTTAGAAAGATTCCACTGTGGCTGCTTTGGTGACAAGATTAGGCGTGTTTCATCCATATTCAAAGCAGTCAGCTCCATGGTTTGCTGTCCGGCTGGTAGAAAACCCCCCAGCACACAGATGGCTCTTGTGTCACCTTGCCAAGCCCTCATTAGTGAGATGACAAGGACTTTCTTTCCTTCTTCTTGGGCAGTCACAGCCCCCAAGAGACATTAAATAAAGACCTAGGCTGGTTAGTGACCTGACAGATGCCCAAAGCTATTGTGAGGTCACTGTGTGCTTTCCAAGACTGGAATTTCTGGTACTTCCACCATTCTCAAGTTATTTAGTAGGCTGCTCCTCAGGGCTGTGTTGTTATTTGAGTAGAACAGTTCTTGGCTCTAACTCTCCGGAAGCTTCTGGAGGAAAGCTCTTTATTAGCATGGGTGAGCTTGCCTCTTAACTCCAGCTCTCCAGCCCACTGCTTCCCTTCTGATATCACTTGAGCCACCTGAGCCCTAAATTGCCAGAGTAACCTGAGGAAATGGTACTCAGAGGGAGAACTGCTGGCCTAGCACGGCTCGGAGGACAGTATCCCAAAGCCTGCATCACCCCAGTGATGCAGAGGGAGCTTCCCCACTGTACTCTAAGTGGTACAGTCACAGCTCAGTGCTTAACCAGTGCGAGGTTTCTTTACTTGGTGATCAGACTTGTGTGGTTAACTGATACTGAATACTGCCTTAGTGCTAGGTCTTGGGGGCACTGGGGTTAGCAAAAGCAGATGGTGCACCAGGAAACGCAACTATAAAGCCGTTGAGAAGACGTAGTTGGCCTTCATTTCAAAGGGGTGTAAAGTCTAGCAAGGTGGTGGTGGGGAGAGCTGGGTAAACAAGTCAGTGCAATAAAGCAGCTCTAATCACTGGCCTGCACGCAGGCTGGGAGAGGAAGCCACTGGGCTCTCGGGGATGCACTGGGGTTGGGAGGCAGGCGAGAGCGGGAAGAGCTCTTTGCTGTGCTTAGTCAGTGTTACTTCCTTGTTCAGAGCCTGGTAGTGAGTCTCATGGCCCGCTCCTTTCTCCCGCCCCTTGTTCACGTTGTGTGAAAGACACTTGCCTGTCTGTTCTGTCCCCTTCTGCCCTTATTACCATGCTCAGCACCCAGGAAGGACCGAGGAACTGTCCTCAGAATTAGAGACTGAATGACAGGTCCCGGGCAGGGCGCAAGCCTGAGATAAGCACCCTTGCGTGCTTGTGCCTCCCTCACATGCAGGGGTCCACGTCTCCGTTAACACGTCTCAGAGGCAGAAATGTACGGCACTTGCCTGTACCAGGTGACCCTCGGTGGAAGCCCGTCCTACCAAGCCTCGGCCTGAGCTCACCACAGCCGCAACTCAAGTCACTTCTTCCTGCCAGGCCTTCCCACGGAGCGACACCAACCCAGCTTCCCAGCCAGCTCAGCCCCTCCCTGCCATGCTGCATGGCCTGAAAGGATCTGGGTAGGGGAACTTCAGGGACTGAATTGTAAAAGCTGGCCAGTATTTGTACCTGCTTGCCTGCATGAACTCTATGCTAGCAATGTGCCTCATTTCAAGTTCCCCACAAACATGTGGACATGCAGAGACCCACAGCACGCAGGTACAGAAGGGTCACTGATCTCCACCCAGTAGTCTTTTCTGAAAGCCCTCGGCAATGGATGTTACTAACATTAGGGGTTTCCTCTCACGCATCATGGACCGAATGCTTGTGCCCCTCCACAGTGTGTGTGTGTGGGTCGTGGGAGCCAAGCCGTACACTGTGGGTTTCGGAAGCGCACCCTTCAGGGGTGGAATTAATTAGTGCCCCTGTAAGACAAGACCTGAGAGAGCTTTCTCTTCTCCCTGATCCCTGCCACCTGTGGCTACGCACATCTGCCCTCCGGGAAGCCATAGTCAGCACTCCTGGGAACCAGGAGGACCCAAGCCTGGAGCACCTGGAGCCTACAGGACCTCGGTCCTGGGCTTCCCAGCCCCAGAATGCTGAGGAGTAAATGACTGCTGTTTAAGCCACCATCCCCCTACACCAGATGTGTCACAGAGCTCAAACTGACCAGCACAATGGGCCGGTTACTTTTGTCCCCCATGGCCACACTAAGTCAGTTCCAATTAATTTTGTGGTCAGGACAAATACTTACTAATCAAATGCCAAAAGAAAGAATGAGAGTGCACACCTAAAAGCCTTCCACTGTTGCTGGTAACAAACATCCCTTCTTATTTCCTCTTTTCTCCTATGGCACCTTCTTCTTCTTCCTCTTCCTCTTTTACTATTACTGCAGGTGGGCTTTTTTATTATTCGCAAAGGTGACCATTTCATTCCATTAGGAAAGAATTAGTTGTTTATAAACGCTGAATTAAGAATAAAGGGTGACTTGAAGCAGGATATTTGTACAGAATAATGTACGTGGCTATAGGGCAAATGTCTCACCCAGGAAGTCCGTGTGGTAAAATAGAGTCCACTTCATTGGTGATGTTTTTAAACACCGTGAACAATGTGTTAGGGAGCAATTTGTCCCTATTGTACTGGTGTCCATTTGCAATATGCACTGGTCACATGTACTGGGGGAATCAGTACACGAGTATTTCAACCATTTGCAACCCGCTTCCTCCCCTCTCCCAGCAGGGGTTTTAACACGGGAAGATTTGTTGTGTTTCTGCTTCAGGTTGAATAACAGGTGGGATAACATGAACTGGCAGCTCTCCAGGCAGGTCCCTACCCCACACGCCCTTCCATCCCTGCCTGTCTGCTGAGCCCTGAGTAAGCCCCTCTCCTTTCCCTCCCTCCACGCACCATTTAGTGCAATGGGAAACAGTCAGGTCCCAGAGTCACTGGTAATGTGACACCAGCACAAATAGGTGTGCGACAGAGTTTGAAGCACAAGCCTTTAGAAGAGTCAGAGTGCTGTAAGTCCTTTCTGCTCATTCACGCATAACGACCAAAGTGAAGCACGCGCCTTCCCTCTCCCTGTTTCCCAGTCAAGGTGCCTGGCAGCTTCTACCGCAGCCAATTGTGTCAAAAGCTACTCTCCCTCTCCCGCGACCCTGGGGCAGGAAAACCGATTCCTTCCGTGTCTGATCGATGTAAAATCCCCAGCCCCTTGCTGTTCTTGTTGATACAGGAGTGAAATCTCTGT